ATTCTCTATTTCCACTTGTTTTTTTTCTTTTTTTTTTTTTTTTAAAGCAAAAGCCGCATACCGTGTTCCCCTTTGTTCTGGTGGGTCGGAGATTTTTAAAAAGGAAAGGAAAGAAGATCTTGGGCATCACTTTGGGGTTTCCAGCCGGGGTTTTCTGTTAAACTTCCTTGGTCAAAAACCAATTAAACAAAAAAAAAAAAAAAAAAAAAAAAAAAGAATCAACCAAGTAGTCATCTCACATACTAGTGATCTGAGCAACTGGAATCGTAATCGTTCCCGTCGCACCGCCAGCCGCAGGAATCCACGAGATGGACTGGCAGTCCTGAGACATGGTCAGGGTGCCATCTTTCTTCTTGTATGCCGCCGATCCGCTCGGAGGTGCCATCGTCCTGGAACTCGACAGCTTCCACTGTCCTGAGCGGCGTATCGGGATCCACCCATCGGGAGGGGGAGAAAACCTTCCAAGGACGAGTCCGGCGAAGAGGAAGGTCAGCGGCCTTCTGCGATGATTCAGCTGGTGGGAAGGTGGGATGAATTCGAGGATGTGTAAAATGGGCTCCGCAGGTCTCGTGGAAGTCTGCAGAAAGAATCACGTGAGCAGTGGCAGTCTGGACGTCAGAGATTCGATCCGGAAAAAAAAACCAAGGCTCCAAGCTGGAATAAGAGGAAACAGACTATGAATCTGAGCTACTGACGGCATTAGACATCGATGATAGTTTTATTGAGATGAGAATCAGCTATAAGATTAACCCGAAATGTACAGACAGCAATGACGCCATTTTCATGGAACCCCAGACCTCAAACAGAACGAGAAGAACTCTTTACAGCCAGATTGCCCTCAGAATACCACGTAGCTAGGATTGACCTCAAAGGTTATAAGGGAACATGTCATGGAGTGAGGATCGATCAAAACCTTAAAAGACTAGCAACCATCCCAAAGAGCACAACCATAACGCTATGAGAATCACTCCCGCTATGCAGAACACAAGATGCTGGACAATTCGTGGCAAAAGGAAAGCAAAGCAGATTATCAAACAGAGTAACAAGTGAATCACCCGCACTTTTGTCGCTCACGCTTGCAATTTCGCTTGCAATTTGGTATCATAAATGAGTCCGCTCGTTTTCCATTGAAGGATAGAAAGAGGAAGAAAATGAAGCAAAACAGGGGTATTAAAACAATCAAAGTCGTAAGCAACAGCCAATGATGAGCACTCTTGTCTCCAGGACTTATTTCTTGAACATGTAATGGCCATAGATGCCTCCAACGTCCCCTACCACAACAGGAATCTTCCTCATCCCCCACCAACGGGCACCCATTTTCCAGGGCCGAGAACCGTCGTCGGGGACTTGGTTTGGCATAGATGCAGGGTCACGCACGTACCAGCCTCGTCTGCCAAGCTCACGGATGGTCCAGCCGCTGGAGGCACGGCTGTTCTTTATTCTCTCCCTCAGGGGAGCAATGATCTTGTCACTGAATTCAATGACTTGCAGAGGATAACTCTGCTGTGAAAGTAGCAAGCATGTATTGGTGTTAAAGATGGTGCCGATCGACAACTGCGTGACCTTGTTGAGGTCCAGGTAGCACAGCGAGGACGGCTCCCAAGGTTCCTGCGCCTGGGTCGAGTCCGCGTTGTCCGACGCTGGAGGCGGAGCGAAGAACATATTGAGGTCTTTGCAGGACAGATCCGCCGAGCTCAAGCCGAGCTCCTCGAGATGCTTGGTCAACGGGACTAGGGCAGACGCATGAGCAGAAGTGATCTTGGCACCTCCCAGGTTCAGCGAGCGGAGGGTTTTGGGCAACCGAGGAAGAAGAGCAGCGACATCCTCCTCCTCGAGAATCCGGTAGCGAGTGGGATCGGTCAGGAGGTTGAGGTACACCAGCGTATTGCACACGGCGGGATGCGTGGTCAAAAACTCGACCACTCTCGAACCCTTCAACCGAGTGCAGCGGGACAGGCTGAGATGAGTGATCTGTGCGGTCTCGGGGATGGAGAACAGCGCCGCCTCGCTGATCTGCGTGTGTGTGACATCGAGATGGGTCAGGTTGATCAGACGAGGGAGAAGGACCTCGAAGGTAGATGGAGGCAGACTGCTGCACTCGTGCAGGGACACCCGCTTGAGATTCGGCAGGCTCAGGGGGAGACCCGGCCCTGCGATCAAGGCCTCTTGGAAAACCGCCGAGAATGACTGGGTCGCACAACCGCAAAAGTCAACACCCTGCAGGTTGGGCAAACCGGTGAATATCTTCTGCACGATTTCCACGCTGATATCACCCTCCACATGCTCCTGGAGCAGACATTCCTTGAGGTTTGGCAGGAGATCCAAACATTTCAGCAGCGTCTTGGAGGTGAGGTTCTGGATTTCTGCATTCATCTGCTTGGTGCGTCCGAGTCCTACGGAGGTGAAGTGGGAAAAGTCCAGACGACGCACGAGGGTTCCGAGCGCGGGATACTGCAACATGTGGTTGAGAGCCTTGGAAAAGATGATGGAATGCGGGAAGGTCATGTTTCTGTACAACACCCCGAGTGTGGCAGCGTGCAACGTACGGGAAGTCAGGAGGCACGACACCAGGTCAACATTCCGTGGTGTGTACCCATTAGGCGGGATATCCAACGCCAGGTTGGAAATGATTTGATCTGCAGTGACATTGTCAGTGGATGAGCTGATATCCAGCATGCAGACGGGAAACTCACCGAGAACTTCTGGGGGCAGTTTCTCTAGCCGCGAGGAGCCTGGAGGGGGTTTCTGAGACTTGGATTGCAGCGTCTTCACGGGAGGATTATTCACCACCGCATTGTTCTCCCACGCCCAACCCCGAGTGTGCATAGCCCCCAATGCGCGAAGATCCCCATAGCTCCTGCTAAGACTCTTTCCTCCGAGTCGAATCTGCTTCCAACCCAGAAAACCACCGCAGGGACAACAGAAATCAGGTGTGTGTTGCATATCAATCGCTAGGGGCGATGTGGTTTTGGTCTGCTCTGTGGGAGACTGAGTGATGTGTGTATCGACGAACGATTGAGCAATGCCTGTACAGAGAGGATAAATTAGCCGTCTGAGACCTTGCCGACACTTGCACGAGTGCTTACCGTCGACGTCCTCCTTGATCGAACCAAACGACGGACGACGGCGACTGCTGGATCTGGAACCGTTGGGGGAGGAACAAGCGGACGAGTGTGGCGAGGAAGTGCGCGACAGTTGAGGATGACTAGTGTCTAGAGCCGGAGCCGTAGTGAACCGAGAATAGGTAGGCTTCTGTAGAGGAATGGCAGAGGAGGTGACGGCGGAAGACATGATAGATTGGAAGGGCCTGCGCAAGAGGCCCCTGAACTATATAATCCGCCGGGTAGATGAGGAGAAAGAAGGACGGGGCGGGATACGGATGCGCAGGAAGGAAAGGGGAACACAGAGACCGAACAGACGGATTTTTTTTTTCTCTTAGCTAATTAGTATTTTTTTTCTCTTTCCCCAGATTTCCAAGCAGAGTCTTAATTTCTTACCGACGCACACAAAAAAAGAGGGGCGGCGGAGACTTTGTTAAGGTGAGACCGTGAGGAGAAGGGAGAATGAGGAAGCTGTTAGTCACAGAAACTCGCTATTGAACTATGGATGTTTGATGGCAGCGGATGGGCACACCACCGCAACACCCCCGAGCGGATGCACGATTCAAGGGTGGAATGGCGACCAGTAGGAGGAGCAGGAGATGATGGTTGAACTGTCGCTGTAGAAGACAAGACTATTTGTGGACAGGAGTGTGAAGTGTCTGCAGATCGATGGAATGGAAAACGGATGAGTGACGAGAGGTGAAGAGAGGAGTCAGAGCATGTCAGGAGATCTGGGGTTGCGAAAAGCCAAAAGGCAAAATCCAAGTTTATTTATTGATCCTACCTAACCTACGTTACAGCCTCTAAAATAGAAAAATTTCTCGAATCCATCGACAGCAAAGCGGAGGCGGCAAAAAAGGGCAGACAGAGAGATCAAGAGACACAGAAAGAATGAGAACCATCGGGCTGGGCGCCATGGAAAGGGCAAGATGCGGCCACATGGGGCGAATGGGCCTCTGAATGCGGCAAACAAGCATATTATTATAGATAGACGTGTATTGATATTGATATAGATAGGTATTAATATTGATACTGATACTGATACTGACTGATACTGACTGATACTATGCAATGATCTCCATTCTTCCCTTTCTTTTCTTTTTTTCTCTTGCCTCTAAAATGCTCTAAATCTGAAATTAAATTTATCAATCTGACCTGGCTGTATGCGCTAGTATCACTTGGGAATAGGGAATTTCCATGCGATGACAATCTTGCGTCATAAATCACGACAGCCTCAACATGGATGACATAGAAACCATCCGCGTCGTTATAGCAAGGAGGACGAGGGATTGATAATATGTTTCATCCGAGTGCCGACTATGCATAGCTAGGATACTATCTAGGTAGACCCGACCCCTAACTCCTAAGGGAAGTCTTGTTATGATCGAATTCTACCATGGCCCATCTCTTGGCCTAATCTTCTTTGGGATCGCCGCAAGCATTTTATGACATAATGCGAACGCTGCCTTAGCGCATCGCCGCTTTCTTGGAACATAATTACATAATCACTTTATACAGCTCCTGTTATCCTGTACTCCGTAGATAGATGTCTTCAACCATTTATTCTCTTCTAAACTTATATCAAACAATCACCTCTCTATCAGTTCTGTGACATGGATCCACGGAATGAAGAGGCAATCCCTCATAGAGCAGAGTATGTACTCCGTACTAGTAAGTACTACTGAGCATTGACTAGAGTACCCCAGATCCAGCCACGTTCTCCAAAGCTAAATTACCTAACAGTTATGCTAGCTTCCACACTATCCCTCTCGGCTTGATCTACCATTCGTCCCTTCTTCGAGTATTCTCAGGGATGATCATGCGGAGGTGTGACACTTAATATGGTAGCATCATCGGATCATGATGAGTTGTCTCTCTGATTGGTCACTTGACCTTTCTATTAGCAATCTAAATCCCCTGACTCTGCAACAAGCATCACCTGACCATCGTTCCAGTCAGACTCTCGGAACTCAGGATTATTATTATGGACTTGATATTGCATGACTCCACAGATCTTCGGCCGGAAAATGGCTCGACCCGGTCCAGCAAACATTGTCATTGCTTAGCTCAAAGCCGATGCACTATTGCTCACTAGTCCTACGGAGTAGATGGTCCTGCCTGCGGACTCCGTTCATAGTCCGTTCTTGTCATGACGAGAACAACGTCCCCTGATCTCCTTGGCCATCGTTCCTTGCAGTTCGTCCTCTGCAGCTACAACATAACCCATACTCCGGGATCTGAATGATGATCTTCTGCGGTCAACATTATCCTCTCAAAGTCGAGCATTCCTTCTTAATAATATGCCAAGATGAATGATCCAGCCAAGACTTAAACTATCTACTCCGTCCGCTATTCGTTGTCTATCCCTTTGTTCCTAACGAGCGCGGAGTACACTTGCCTAGACCCCTTCATTCTTGGTCGGAATCCCTTGATTCCTTTGGATCAGACCGCTGTGCGCTGTGCAATACGGAGTACGTAGATAACTATTGGTTAATGATGTGCGCCAAGTACAATCGCCTGTTCAACCAGTTCACCGAATCTATCAGGTATGACAAAGCAGTGCTTCGCCTTTTGCGAATCTTGCTCACAGAAGGGTTCCATTTCTCCTGGTTTACTATCACAATGCAGCCCGAAAGTGCTGCTATTCTCGGGGTGATCAGGGACAGCAGACGCTGACATCGATGAAATATCAGTGGAACAAGTGATGCAAATGATTCATCACTAGATGCTAGACCCTACAAAACAAGCGCACAACTTTGGAGATATCATATTGAGAATATTGCCGGAAAATATGATTCAATCTACAATTATGTCTGACTGGCTGCAACTAATATGTACATCGACGACTCCCGGGTCTTACCTACAGACGGAGAAACTCCCTCGATCTCCAGAACATCAATACTATCTATCAATTAATGAAGATTACCTCTAGAGAGAAAGAGCCTACGTGGATCTGTTTGGGTTGCGATCTTAATGGTCCCGAGGTTCTCCAGGAATTACAGGTAGTCCTGCAGGACCATTCACACAAAATGATCTAGAAATGCGCGCAGCAGTGTACTACAGACTGATGACATACTTCTTGGCTGACGCACCCTTCTTCAACTGATTGAGTCCCTCCTGAATCGATTCCAATCCCTTACCCACCACCTCGGCAGGAGGGGCAGCCTTGAACTCTCCCGCTGCCAACGCCTTGGGGAGGAAACCCTCGAAGATGGCCGGTCCAACCTCATTATCCTTGGCATCAGCTCCAAACACAAACTTGGACTCGATGCCCTTCGGCAGTGCACCACTTGGAGGATTGGTCAAGGATACAAACTTGCGCGAGTTGACCTTGGAAATAATCTCACCGCAAGGGCCGGACGCCTCCGTGCCGATGCTCAGCGCACCGGCTCCGGTCTTGCCGTCGTAAGCCTTGATGATATCCTCGACGACAGTCGGGCTGCGGTGGTCAAAGACCCGACTGGCACCGAGAGACTTGACATACTCAAAGTTCTTCGGCGACGCGGTGGTGATGACCTCGTAGCCCGCCGCCGCAGCCAGCTGGACAGCGTTGCTGCCGACGCTCGACGAGCCGCTCCAAATCAGCACGAGCTGGCCGGTGGGCGCAGCCCGCGGACTGTTGGGGAACCGCAGCGCCAGGTGATCCTTCTCGAACAACATACAACTCGCCGTCGAGATGCCTAGCGGGATGACGGCGGCGCTTTCGTACGACAGGTCCGCCGGGATCGGGGACGCCAGGTGCGCCGGCACGACCGTGTACAGCTGGAATGCTCCCTCGGCGGGGTTGTTGTCCTTGAGCTCGCTGCCCAGCCCCAGCACGCGGTCGCCGGGCTTGAAGCGACCCGCTGCGCCGCCGGAGCCCACCTCGACGACCTCGCCGGCCACGTCGGTGCCCATGATGGTGGGGTAGGTGGTCCAGGAGAACAGCGCGGAGCCCATATCCTGGCGGGCATAGTCGACCGGATTCAGGCCGATGGCGCTATTTTTGACAACGATCTCATTCTTCTTGGGAGAGGTGTAGGGGGCGGGCTTGACCTCGAGAGGTTTGGCCTTTTCGGCAGTCTGCCATGCGGCGCGATTGGTTGGGGACATTCTGCGAGATGATGATGAGCTGATATAAGGTCACCAAGATTGTGACAGGTAAGAGATGATTAAAGCTGATCTGACTATAGTCTTCAAGTCTGGGAGGCTTGGAGGCTGGAGCATGGGGCAGGTCTGTCCCTTAAATTCTGTGGGACGACCATCGATTTCGGGGCCATCGGATCGGCTTTTTTGGCAGTTCAACTATGTTGCTCTCCTCGAGTACCTTTGTCTAGCTGATGACTACAACTTGACAGACGAGAGGTTGTCAGCATGAGCTCATTGCGATGGTGACCAGTTGACGGATTCAGTACTCCGAGATCTGACTAAAATAGGACTAGCGTCTGAGTACACTGGCTTCACATTTCGTCCTCTCATTGTCGACCGACCTCATCAGCTTGGTTCATCCCAGTTGGCACTAGATCAGTATGGATCTCCGATATCAGACTAAAAGAACAATCTTTCCGAAGATGCTACCCGATAGGCTCAAGTGAAGCTTGGTCTCACGCTACGAGATTGCACCAAGCACAGAGTTCTCTGGCTCCAGACACAAATTGTCAGTTTCTCACGCGCAGAGAAATTTGTACATGATCTCTGCACACGGACTCGACGTGTCTACGAAGTCTCGGGGGATTTGATATCGATTTTCTCAATCTAGGTTGCCAATGAGTGGAATATGGACTCATTCCCGATACGCTTCACGTTTGTCTGACTGATGATGGTCGTTGATCCGATTCCATGCTGCAAACATGCGCAAGGATGCATCCGCCGGTCAGCGCTACTGGAACTCTTGGCTTTCACCTCGTAAAGTACATGCCAATCTGCCTACCGTCATCTGTATCCAGTCTAACTTGGGCAATGACTTTGAGGCTGTTAGCCCTAGGCATTGGAGTCGTGAGGCATCAGTTCAGGTAGCGAGGGACCGGATCGACTTCGCTCGTGAGGCTACTGGCTAGACGAAGCTGATTCACCAGCTCATCTCCCCCATCACCAGATTGGACAATTTTTCTTGGACAATAAGGTCAATGTCCCAGATGAGCGTAGTATCATCGATTCTGCGCTACTCAAGGGATAAAGCGATGTCAGGGTGGTCTCTGAGCGAAAGCGGGATGAGACGCTGCACTTATTCCTCAGTGACTCCCGGACCATGGCTGTGCCAGGGGCCGGATCCAAGACGGGCGGGTACTAACCACTGAGACCTTATGAGCATTTGTCGGCTGAGTCAAGTCTTCCAGCCCCTGTGGATGCTCTCCAACTCGACGGACCGCCGTCATGAATCGCGTCGAGGACGTGGCCACCACCCAGGGCAATCTCACGAATGGTTCCATGCTGACGGACATCTGCCATCCCGACACCGACAAGGAGCGCGGACATTCCCGGCTGTCGAGGTAGACAACCCGGCCTCCAGCCTGGTCGAATTCTGGCAGAATATCCTGCTCATGTCTGTAGTGTATCTTCGTGCCGTATCCGTATGTATTGTAGATTATCATCCTGGTTGATCAATCCATCGTCTGTAAGCAGGAGCCGGAAATAGACTGACCCTACTCCCTGTATCCATCCCTGCTGCATATATATGATATCCGCGACACGGCCAAATCACGACCATATCATGTCGTACTGCATCCAATACTACTCACACAGCAAAAACGCCACACTCCCAAGAAATTACAATCCCAGCGAAAGCGAAAAGCCACCATTCCGACCGGCTGGGAAGCCGGCTGGGCTTGCGTCGTGGCTTCGGTCTAATTTAGTCTGCATGGGGTCTCTACACTAATATGTCGCCTGCCATTGCCATTGCCATTGCCATTGCCAAGGCAACTTGACCCGATCCTGACTATGTCACGACAGACCCTGCTCGGCTTGTTGACATGTAGATAGATCTTCTGATTGTCCCTGACAGGGAGAATTCTCGGAGAAATCTGGCTTGTTTCCCATCTTCAAGGTACTGAAGAAAGTTCCGCCTTACTAGAAACAGACACATCTCGTCAATATGTCGTCAACGATGACCGCATGACTTGAATCCGAAATAACTCTATTCATGACGCAAATCCAAATCGTCTATTTGCAGCAAATAAAATCAATTGTAACAGTTGTAGCAGTGGTCGACTTGCCGGACAGCATCCAGACAAGCGCCGATGGATATCAGTAGTCCTAGCCCATAAACCCAAAATATGCAAAATCGTCTAGATCAATATGATGATAATGATGACCATAAATCAATGAACAGACTTTAGCCAGACGCCCAGAAAAAAAAATCGAACCATTCTTCAACCACTTTTTCCTGTTATCAATCACATTTGTCACGTAGCGTAGTGTAGAGCGAAGTCGTGACTTATTCGACAGCGGAAGAGCCATCGCCGTGGGTGACAGGGTTGACCTTCGGGTTCCATTTGAATTTGAACTCCTGTCCAAGCTCCTTGCGGACGGCCGCCTTGACTGCCTCCAGCACATTGGGGAAGACACCGAAGTTGGCCGGGTTGTTCTCGTCGTTGTCGCCGCCCTGGAAGACACCTGTGCGCACCAGGCAGGTGTTCCAGCCGTACATGTTACCGCCGACAATGTCCGACTGCGGGTTGTCACCAATCATGTAGATGTTCTTGGGCAGGCGGTTCTCGTTGTGAATCTGCTCCATCCAGGACTTGAGCACCTCGTCGGCGTAAGTGTAGGTGGCGCGTTCGGGCTTGCCGTAGACCACTCGCTCCAGGTCAACGCCGGTCAGAGCCTTGTACTGCGCCTCGATGGCGATACGGAAGCAACCCTGGGTCAACCGAGGAGGACCCTGGTGGTCGGTAGGCATGAGCAGGTCACCCTGGGAGAAGTAGATGGGGATACGGGAGGAGACGGGGTCCTTGGCGCGGGTCAGCAACTTGCCGTCCTCGGCCAGTAACAGATCGATGATCAGCTGCATGTCGGTGGCGTAGTCGCGAGAGTCGGCAAAGACGAGAATAGCATCGAACTTGATCTTGGAGAAGTCGCGGGGCTTAGCCTCAGCGCGATCCTCGGCGGTGAAGGTGCGCCAGGGCGAGATGGTGGGGTCCCAAGCAAGGATATCCTTGGGGTGAACAACATCCTTGAAGCCGTAGTTCTCGGCAACCTCACGGATCTTCTGTCCCTCTCCACCCAGGACGAGAACAGTTTCGTAGTACTCGGACAATGCCTGCATTGGAGTATGAGACTGGATGAACTGGTCGGTCGAAATAGGCACCTCAAGGATCTCGGTCAGCTGCTGGCAACGGGCGGCTTCAGTCTTACCACCACCGTTGGTCAGGAGGATGTAGGGGATCTTGATGCCTAATTCGTTGTCCCCGTTCAGCATCTTGAGGGCCTCCTTGGCTTGGGGAATGGCGTGATTGCCGTGAGCCAAGACACCATCGATGTCGAAAGCGAAAGCCATGTTCTTAGCGGCAGCGACCTTCTCCTTGGACATGTCCTGCACCTGAGAGGCCAGGAGGTCACGAGAGACAGAGGAGGCATCGGCCATGCGAACAGAAGACAGGCGAGACACCCGAGGGGATCTGGGGATGGGGAGGGAAGTGCCGAAGGAGTTGCGAGAACCCCGACGATCCCGCATCGAGGGAGACAAGCTCAGGTTGTGCATGAACTGGGCAGCATCACTGATGGAGCTTCTGGTGGCAGGGATCTCGACAGTATTGCCAGCCTCGTTGGGGATGGCAAGAGAGCCAGAAGTACTGCCACGGGCATCTCTGGGCGAACGAGCACCGGCGGGAGCGGCCTCGACGCCAAAGTCAGCATCGTCGAAGCGAGGCATGGTGATGGTGGTAGATGAGCAATGAGGGTAGAGTTGAGGTAGGAGGGAGATGAGTGGGTGATAAGAGAATGGAAGATGATATCACTCTTATATGGGAGGGGCGGGCCGGATCAGCGCTTGTTTGAAGAATTCACTCAACGGCTTCCCGAAAAGACAAGGATGGAAGGATGGAAAAGGTGAATGAAGAAAAAGCGAAGGCGATAGTGAAGGAGATCAGGTATTTATTATATAGAACATGGTTTACCAGAACCAGTGGCGGTCAACCATCCCAAGGGGAAGGAGGTGTAGTATCTCTGTCCATGAGAAAATAGGGCTCCACCCAGGCGTATCATCATTCCTAGGAATTATCGTCATCATCGTTTTGGGTATCTGGGATGATAGCAGCAATGACGGCGGGATGGACGAGTGGTCCAGTGGAGGTCAGCCATGGCCCATAGATAACTGTTCCAATGGGTACGGCGGAGCTGGCGTCGGGCTGGCTAAACCCTTTTGAGCACCGACAGCCAGGATTGCCGTGGGTCTTGTCCTTGGGCTGTACTGTGTCTTCCGTAAGGGAGGTATTTCTGTTTCATTAGACCCTGCTTGATACGGTCTCAGGCTGTAAAATTTGATTTTCTCAGAGCATGGAAAGAGGGCGGGGCGGGGACTGAGAGGCCGAAGGTGGCATTCCTGGCATTCGCGCCCATCCATTGGCTGGTAAGGGCTGAAGCTGGAAATTTCTTTACCAGACGAACCGCCCATGAAATGATAGCATGAGGCCACTCTGCACGCTGAGTGGACAGGAACCCACCCTTGCTTGTTGGTGATTGGCTCCTTGGAGTTTTCCACCCATGGAATGGGCAGAGATCGATGGGGCTGATGACGATCGAGCGGGCGGCGGCGGGTCAAACGCTCGCGCCGTTTCGTCCTTTTGATTTGCTGGTTGCAGCGAGGCAGACATGATGTCATTGCTGAGGGACTGTGTGTGTCTTGGTGGGGCGGGGCCTCACATCACTCAAGCAGAGGTAGAGTAAGGTAGCAATGGTGAATTAACTGGGGGATAATTCGAATAATTCTCTCATATGTTGAGAAGATTTCAGAGTAGGTAGCTGTCACTTATTATTGATTATTGTAAGCAATTTAGTAGGTAGAGAGAATCAGAGGCAGTTATAGTGAAGCAGATAGTACAGATGTTTGTTGCTTGTCTCCTCTGCTGAGCTGGCAACAAACAGGAATTGATCCTCAGGATAGAAGATTCCGTAGAATAAAAGAAGAATCAGAGGGGGGAAATCATCATCATCATCATCCTCCTCCTCCTTCATCGTCATCCTCCTCCTCCTCCGCCTTCGGTCACCTTCTGAAACCCCACCTAAGCTGCTTCTCGCTGCACTGCTACCCCTCCTCAAAACCACCCAATAATCCCTCTGCTCTCCTTTTATCAGTCAACCATTCCAATACCCCTGAACATCTTATTTATTTTTTTTTTATCAGCTTGTCATTCTTCATTATCCCTGCGTTTTCTACCTCAATTGCTCTCCTAGCTTTTTGCAAAATGTCGTCTGGTGTCACTTTCACTCTCAGCAACGGTGTTAAGATCCCCGGCGTCGGTTTTGGAACCTTCGCCAGCGAGGGCGCCAAAGGCGAGACCTACCGGGCTGTCACATGTGCTCTCAAGACCGGATACAGACACTTGGATTGCGCCTGGTTCTATCTGAACGAGGACGAGGTCGGTGATGCCATCCAGGACTTCCTCAAGGAAAACCCTTCTGTCAAGCGCGAGGATATCTTCATCTGCACCAAGGTCTGGAACCACCTGCACCGTTACGAGGATGTCATCTGGTCGCTTGAGAACTCCCTGAAAAGACTCAAGGTCGACTACGTGGACCTCTTCCTGATTCACTGGCCCATTGCCGCCGAGAAGGAGACGCAGGAGAAGCCCAAGATCGGACCTGATGGAAAGGTAAACTAAATTCTCAGTCCCAGCCTGAGCCCTGCTAACTGGCAAACAAATAGTACGTCATCCTGGAAGACCTCACCAAGAACCCCGAGCCCACATGGCGGGCAATGGAGAAGCTCTACGAGGACGGCAAGGCCAAGGCCATCGGTGTCTCCAACTGGACCATCGAAGGGCTCGAGCAGCTGCTCAAGTTCGCCAAGGTCAAGCCTCACGTCAACCAGATCGAGATCCACCCCTTCCTGCCCAACAACGAGCTCGTGCAGTACTGCCTCGAGCACGATATCCTGCCCGAGGCCTACTCGCCGCTGGGCTCCCAGAACCAGGTCCCCACCACCGGCGAGCGCGTTAGCGAAAACCCGACCCTGAACGAGATCGCCAAGAAGGGCGGCAACACCCTGGCCCAGGTGCTGATTGCCTGGGGTCTGCGCCGCGGCTACGTGGTCCTGCCCAAGAGCTCGAACCCGGCTCGTATCGAGTCCAACTTCAAGAGCATTGAGCTGTCCGATGCCGATTTTGAGGCCGTCAACAAGGTCGCCGAGGGCCGTCACTTCCGGTTCGTCAACATGAAGGATACTTTCGGTTACGATGTGTGGCCCGAGGAGACGGCCAAGCAGATGTCTGCTTAATTGGTTTCCCTTTATGCGGGTCATAAAATCATTTAATGTTGGGAACGAAATATCATGATCAGTTGGTTGACACGGTACATAGCTACATCTGAAACAATCCAATAAAGCTAGCTGGATTAGCTGGTTATCATTTTAACTCAGTACGGGGTATCTACACTTCTACCGTAGACAACACAAGTGAAACTGTAATAATAAAATGCGCCAAGATATCAACCAAGCACCAATAGCACCTCTTCCTAATTTCGTCCCGAAATTGCTTGAAAACTCTTCAACTCAAATACACTCATAAACCCAATGAGATGCTGGGCTTCCTACAGGCTGCAGCACCGATGTACATGCATGCAGTATCGGGAGGTGGTTGTAAATGTAATACAATGACTCGGAGGACTGTCCTCCAAGTCACTAGCTATGTAGTATGACGCTATGCTATGCTGTCCAGTCTCCATTGTGCCTCACTTCTGGTATAGGCACTTTCGCATCTGGCCGAATTTGGATATTCAAGAGAGATCAGGGGTATTAGGCAGATACGCCAACCGCATATACCGCTTTATTCATTTAAGATTACTGTGCTGAGGAAAGTGAAGTATCAGACATCAACAACAACAACAGCAGCATGGCTACAATGCAAATGCACCGCCCGTCTCACCAGCCTCTCGGGGAATAATGAGCATCGGAAAATCCCGGGACTCAGCCACGCCCGGTGGGCAAATCCGGAAAAGCCCTAAAACACCGGGCCGCCCAAAAGGGGAAAGACCGAGTTTGGCCCGTGGATCCGTGACCAATCTGAGACTTCAGCAGCCCTACACAGGCCACTACTATTACGGAGTACTACTATGGAGTATCTAGGATCTCTTTGGGGAATATTAATGAAGCAGGCCATGACGTGGGATACGAGGTGTTTCTTCTTCATTCCTCATTGGGCCGAGGACATGCGAGGAGGAGTGAAGTGAAATGAACTGGGCCAAGTGGATCACTCCTACAGAGTAGTGCTTGCTTTGAATATTAATGGTCAACACTGAACAGGCACCTTGTCCTACTCATAGGACTCAAGGTTAGCAACGGAGTTGGATATGGATAGGTATCATTTCCCCTAATGAACAGGAACAGATGGGTCCACATCGTCACCAACAATGATTTGTTCATGCTTCAAACAGTCAATTTCATGACTCCATTATCAGAGACCAAGGTACCTAACCTACTTCACAGGTTGCTTTGACTGGTTGACTTGGGATTCATTATTCCCATTCTCGAGTGATTTTCTGTTGAGACTTGAGACTCGATTTCGCTCGGCCTGAGTTGATTCAAAACACACAATGAGGGATTTCCTTCTTCGTCCAGGCTCGTGTGCTAGTGTGCTCCGTTGATGTTGATATGCCCCTGCTAAAAACTCAAGACCAGGACGAATGTCACCGAGCGTCTGATGCGCATCATTGAAGAGTGCAGTCCTGCGATTATCAGGCAAACCTTCCTCATAAGGATTAATCACTGAAAGTCAATTGCTAATGACAAGATTCAGCCAAGAGCAAGACCCTTTACCTTGACTTGGGTCGCTTGACTGTACTCCTGCCCACCTGTCTACTGTCTACTGTCTACTGTCTACTGTCTACTGTCTACTGTCTACTGTCTACTGTCTACTGTCTACTGTCTACTGTCTACTGTCTACGTAGGCACCACTCGCATGGCAAAGTACAGGCTGCTCCTACGAGTCGGGCCTACAATCATCGGTAATGCTCGGCATATGATAATGGTGAAAAACATGATCCAAGTCAACAAATGACGATGAGACGCATCTCTTTTCCCCGCACTAAACAAACTACGCAGTACTATCGAAGGCTAACGAGTTCTTCATGAGCGGAACCCCCAGTTGGTAGTCAACTAGATCCTTGACGGTGGTACATGATACTTGTAAGATGATCGTCAAGTCATGACAAAACTCGACAGACATGGTTGGCTGAAAGTGACCTTGACCATCTTCAGAAAGACTAAACCGAAGTGATGGCGGTGATATTCACATGAAACCGGGATTGAAAGATCAACAGATCAACAAACCACTGCAGATGAACTCATACAAGGAGTGTCTCTTTACATCTTCCTGTCCTTACACCTATAACGCCTTACCCACTGACAAGTCGACAGCAACAATAACAATACAACAACGCCGGATTCGCCCATCCATCCGCCTTGCAAATCCCATAATAACTGATTGGCGGACCAGATCATGTACAACTCCCAAATAGGAGCACCGGCAACACGTAGATAGAAGTTGTTGTCAGTATTGAAAAGAACATAACGATAGAAGTTGAAGTGCACCACAATCAAGGGCGGGGACGGATACGTCTCGGCATCGGCGTCGATCCAGCATGTGCCTTGAGAATGTTCTTGGATTTTATTCGCGAAGCGCTACCACTGGTAGAGTCTGACGAGCTCCTATCCTCGCTGGTGGAGCAGGGTAGCATCTTCTTCGAAACAGGACTACCCGTCACAACAACGCTGGGCGCCTTGGGGATCAATTTCTTCCGCTTGCCAACACTGCTGCCAGTGCTGGGAGTCGGGAGAAGCGACGCTCTCTTCGTGCCTGTGGCTGCGATAGGACTGGAATTACTTTTTGACCCTCCTAGCCGCCGCACACGCCGCGCCTTGGGAGCTGCAGTAGCAGGTGCAGTAGTTGATGCAGCCACTTCTTCATCACCACCAGTCTTCACAGATGTCTGAGACCGGGTGCTGCGACTACTGGCTGCTTTTTTCTTATCGGTGCCATTCACTGCCGCTTCGACTCCAGCATCAGCGACGTCATTGCGCTTCCGCTCCCCTCCCTCACGGTTGTTCTCCCCTTGATACTGCACAAGACGCTCCTCGTTCCAAGTCACGTATTTCTTGGCGCCTGTACGCTTCCGACCAGGGTCTCGTGCAGCCTTGCCATCATCGACATCGAGGTTGGTGTTCTGCGATCGTTCGCCCAAGGCCTGAAGCACGTATTTCGGCATGACCGCATCCCCCTTGTTGTGACGGGTGTTTCGGCGCGTCGCCAGCGCAAGCTCCTGGGCTTCCGTGCGCTGGAGGAAAACGAATTCTGTGCCCTTAGCGCGACGAAGAGTCAGGGTACGAAGAGTGGGCGTAGTTGTCTGGGGTGGAACTTTGGCAGCACGGTTCCTCGAGCTTCGACGAACTGGGCTGGCCGCTTGATTTTTGTCCTCTTCGGCATCATCGTTTTTTCGTGCTTGATCATCCCAAACAGGGCCATCTGCAGGATCAGACGCTTTCACGGGATACAGCTGGACTTTCGATGGCGAGGGAGAATTGGCGTCCAGCTCTTCCAGCACCCGTCGAGCCTGCGGGGTTGGTCCGTCACTCACTTCCTGGCAGGCTTTTTCTGCCGCTGCATCCTGCACAGTCATGGCTGCAGCTTTGGCGGCGCGAGCTGCCTTGGCCTTGGACAAGAAGTTATTGAGCAACTCGGCGTCCTCCCCATCCATCGAGCTGCGTAGTGCCGAACGTACCAGAGTGGACTCTTGTTGCGCACTTAGACTCTGCCCAGATGTGACTTCTGCTGGGATTGTAAAGTCTGCGGTCTGGACTGACGGATCATGTCGATCATCCGTCATATATGTATTCAGGGCTGCATCTGAGGGAATATCGGTTACGCTATCAAGACTGGCTACACTGGTGTCCAGTTCAGAGTCAGGTTGAGCGACCTCGCCGGTGGCTTTTATCTCAAAACCGTAGTTGTTTCCAGCGCAATCATCTAAACTGAGGGACTTGCCATGTAGCGTGCGGAGATTCGCTGGTAAAAGAACCGAGTCGGTCGATGTGTCTGGGGTCGAGTCAAAGGATGCGTCCGTGTCCTGTTCGGCGATTGACGTGGCCGCGTCCCGTGATTCATCCTCGTCAGCCAAACGATGACCTTCCTCCCCCTCTTCATCCGTATCCATGGGCTCCGCTTGAAGATCAGTTAAGTCGGCATGGTTCGAGGGCAGTTTCCCTATAGGCAATCAGAGCGTGTCTCGTAGTCGCCAAGCTTGGCTAAACCAAACATCGAGCGAGCATGCATACGTCTTCTCCCAGTCGCTTCAGACTCCCATTTTGTCTCCAGGAACGAACGTCCTCGTAGAACCGTACTGTCCGATTGACTCTCAGGATCGTCCAGCCCAAAGCATCGTCGCTTGACACCGCGGATAAACCCCAGATTCCTGGACACGTTGATTTCGGCGAAGAGATCTTCATCGACGTCCTCGTGCGATGCAGCGACAAGACGTTGTAAAGCTTTCATGCTGTTAAAGGAGGAACGGAAGCGCTTCCAGACCTTGCGCGACTTCGAACGCCCAAGGAACGAGTTCGACGGTTTGCGGTCCCATAGACGAGGGGCGGCGGGCGCCTTGATGGGCGTGAAACTGAATTTTTCTTCCTGGATCTGAAGCTGGCTATGAATGCTCAAACCAGCGAAAAGCGCGCGCGATTGGCGCACACAGTCGCGATCGGATTAGCGATCGTAGTCTCTGAGAGTAATGGCAGGGAGAGAGAAAAGGGGCAGGGGCAATTCTTCAGTGCTTCCCCGGTCAAAGCACCCATCATAATCAGAGGAATGTCAATCGGAACAAAAGAAGCAACTCACCATGCTCGCGACAGAGGGCCCGATTGAAGGGATGGATCATTACTGGTGGCCATCGCTGCTTGGAGCCCCGAGGAATGTCGGCGGAGCTCAACTGTAGGTCAACGGGAAACGAAATGGTAGAGGTTCTAGCTTCTAGAATACTGCAATAATAGGATACGAGCTTAATAGTTGAAGCATAAATGCGACGCAGATAGAAGAGAAACCCATCTATCCGAAGCAATACAAGTTCGCGTCGAGGCCGAGATGGAAGAAATCATAATAATACCAGAGTAAACTAAGCCCGACTGACGTGTTGATTGGCGGTGGGCGGACCGTTGCTGTGCCAACCACTTTATCAGATAAACCGCAGGATACGTAAGGACAACTGCTGAGGTTCACTGGATATGGATGGGGATATCTATTTCTATTCCGTACGAAGACGACTTTGATCCTCCTGTATTTCAGGTGTAGGTGAAGAGAAAAAAGGTAGATCCTCTAACGCCGTGATGAACCCAGGAAGACAATCGACAGGCCGGACAGCAACACAGCACTGGCCTCCTTCCAGCACCCTCATCTTGTGAAGAAAATGGATAAATCAGCACTGTTGTAAGTCAAGAAACTCAGGTGTCGTCTCATCTACTTGACTCTGTGCTACGACACACCACATCCGTCGTGCCCATGACACAAACAGGCTTGTCATTGTCCCAGGAGCTCGGCTTTCAGCTTCGCATAGTATGACTATTTGTCACTGGAAAGCAGCCATGTCAAGGAGAGCTTGTTTTCAATGCTGGAATGAGGCTATTGATAGGACACACTGCCTCTATCTACCATACCACATCCGAGTCTCTCAAACGAGTCTTTCCCGGCAGTGTCAACCCTGAAGCTCAGGCAGGTTCCGTTGATCATGCTAACTGCCAAACAATGATCTTCACCCAAACGAAGGGGCTACTTGACATTTTGTCGTAGCAATTAACGGAGGTCGGTCTAATATGGCAATAAAGAGTTCTGAGAAGAGGCTGAGCGAATATCATTCAATTCTGGCTTACGGGTTAGCCATTATGGTCGAACAGCAAAAAGGTAAGGTAGCATTAGTTGGGCCATACTCCGGTAAGCATAACTCATAAGGTCGTAAACTACTACTGTCTCTAAAATCCCATTAAGAAGGAGACAGATAAATTGGCCCCAATAGGTCCAACCGCAAACCCTAGAATATTTCCTCCTCCATATCCCGGTCGTCGAAAGGGTCACCGAATTCATCTAGGCATACCATTAGCCACCATTCTCGTGGATAAAGTCTCAAAAGGAATCATGACAGTAAGCAAGCGACGAATCGGTCGCTCAACGTACCCAGATTAAAGTCCTTATCGACAATATACTCCATAGCTCGCTGGTACTCCTCCTCCGCCCGTTTGTTCATCCACCGTGCCCCGGGTTGCTGCTGTTGCTGCTGTCCAGCAACCTGTGTCGACAAATCCGAAGGCCCGTTCTTCTCGAGCCCGGTCATCTCCGTGACTTCGGAGAAGTTCTGTGTCTGCGAGCCTGGTGGGGATAGTTCGGAAGCCCCCGCAAATCCTGCCGCGGAGTCATTGAGACTGGCATTGTTCGTAGGCGTACGGGAGCCGGCCGGTGAGCCGACAGAAGATTCGGGGGATGAGGCCATTTGCGAGTCGCCGTCCCGATCTGTATTTCATTAGCAAAGCGAGTCGTGCAGCTGTTGCGACGTACTGGGTGTGGAGGCGTAGGTTTGTGAAAGGGCTGATAGGAACATCAGAGCCCAGGACTTACCAGTCGGCATCATATTTTATTTTCCAGAAGCACAACAAACGAAGACGAGGCTGGCAAACGACGGTGTACAATGTAAGTAATTGATTTGGTTCGTATAGATGCAGCTCTAGGCGGAGAGACGCCTGAACTCCGTCGCGGTTTAACTAATCAAGCAACAATGGTTTTCCCGTCTTCGCTGGCTTTCCCCGCTGCCGGTCACCTTTTTTTTTCTCACGCAACACTACTTGTCGGAGACAAGACAGCTATCAATGGGCATATCAGGCTGGATTTGAATTGGTGTCTCTCGCCCTCCTTTGCTTTCGTCTACACCGCTAGACCTTCACTAGTCGCCTACATTCCTAGTGTGGTGGTCAATCCAACTCTCTTGTGAACATGAGCGCAAAGCCTACTACTGCTGGCTCCCCCGATGCTTGGGAAGATGACTGGGAAAAACAGGCAGATGTATGTCCTCCATCTCTAATGACATTTTTATCTACCTCAGAACCATTCTACGATATGTGTCCGCTCGTCGCCTTTACCAAGAACCATCTGACCGGAAAATTTGTCCTCGACAGAAATTAGCCGATGATCCAACCCCACCTCCAGAGAAGAAGGTGTCCTCGAAAGTCACCAAGGCGCAACGCAGGGCGCAACAGGCTGAGTTCAACCGGCAGCTATGGGCCGAAGCGTGCGTGCATTCACCCTCTACTATCAGTCTCAATTGGAGATTTATATGTTGATTATGTCATAGTGAATCTCCACAAACTTTCCACTACCTAGAGGCTCGTTCCGATGTCCCTTTAAAGCAGGATTTCAAACCAGCGGTAACTGTACTCAGCCGCACGCCTCAATTGATGACACGCCAGTCATCGTCCAGCGGAGTTTCTTCAGCAACTGCGGGCATCAGTAGGCTCGGTTTGGCGACCAATGATAGCCTGGAGGATTCAGATGACGACCAGAAACGGCCAGACCCGACTCCAGAAGAACGGCATGCCATTGCTCTGAAAAACCTGGAAGAAAAACAACGGAAATATGAGGAAGTGCGAGAGAGACTGTTTGGAAGTCCGTCTGCAACCACCTCGGGTGCATCATCACCGCGAAGCGCTACTCCTCCAAGACAGTTTGAAGGCAGAGGGAAGGGAAGGAGCCGCGGCAATGGCAGAGACAACAACAGAGACAAGAGAGACTCTTCTGCATCATCGGGAAAGTCAAGACAGCTCTTTGACCCCGGATATTCCTCCAAACCAAACGCAAGCTACGTGCAGAAAAAGGAGAGACAGCAAGCTGGCGAGCGGGTATTGAATGACCAGCCACAATCTCCGCGGCAGCCGATTCGTAGTCCTAGAGGCCCAGATGCCAGTGGACGAGGTGGTTTCAGAGCAGGCTACAGAGGCGCAAGGGCCACTTGATCCCAACACGTCGCGACGTCGAGGGCGGAGCCTTACGGCCCTCGCGCTGGGATATGTCTTTAGCGACAGAACCAATCCTTGCTCGTTGAAGAATCATGGCAATCCCCTTCCCGAGTTGATTGCGTTTGCAACCTGCGACGTATTTGGTCGATTTTCTGGGGGATGTCAGTCTCGTGACAGTCACGGCTGCATGAAGATATACTCACGGGCATATCGCTCATAACTGTCAAGATACAATTCGTCGGAGCTGGTTGTCGCCTTGACATGCTCATTGGCCTCAATCGCGTTAACCCATGCGGCCCACCGGCTTCCAGCCTCGGGGTCGGGCCAGCCACGGTACGGTTTGAGCACCCGGCTTAGTCGGAGGATCCAAGGGGCAATCTGGACGTCCACGAAGGAGATGCTCGGTCCTAGGAAAAATGGACCTTCGGGGTTGGCAGCCGTGATTAGCGTCTTGAGACCGTCTTGGAGCTCCTGCATATTCGCCGTCTGTCTTTGTTCCTCCTGTTCCTGGAGAACCCTATAGAAGCTGGGCACGATGTGACGATTGATCTACGGGAATTCAGCATCTACTCTGAAAACTAATGTCGGACCACACGGTACTTACATGGTCGGTCCAAAGCCGGCAGTGTGCTCGCAACTTCGCATCGCCCGGCGGCAGAAGGGGCGGACCAAGGTCCAAATCTTCGAGCTGCAGATCCCGGTTAAGAGATGACGGCCTCCCCGCGAGAAAGGGAAATGTGGGTTGAAACCTACATATTCGAGCAGAACTGAGCTCTCATACGATCCCCAATCACCGTGCCGCAACGCTGGCACCAGGCCTCGGGGGTTCACCTCCAACAGAGACTGAGGTTTTTGGTACGGATCTACTTCGATATATTGGTATGGGATACCCTTGATTTCCAAGGCTATCCAAACGCGTTGTACAAAGGGGCTAGAGTATGCTTTTTTAGCTGAGACTGGGGTGAAAGACTTGATGCTCAGACTTACCAGAAGCAACTTCCGAACAGTTGTAATTCTGCTTCCTTGGAATGATTTATAGCGGTCAAAGCCGCTAAGCCAGTAGCTTTGGTGTGATATGTTTTTTGCTGAACTTCACTTTGGGAGGGCATCGTTCTGTTCTTTGAAAATTGGTTAGGTTCAGGATATAATTCGAATCGAAACAAAGTCTTTCCAAATCGTCTCGTGGGTGTGTCGCAGTTGTAGCACCTCGGACAAGCGGGGAAGCTGGAGGTCATTTTATGCGGTATCGAGCAGTGACGTAAATTGCGGAATCACATAATGCATCCACCACAGCACAACTTGAAAACTAGTAAAAAGGAACAGATCGCACACTTACTGTGACCGCCTTTCTCTTCTCCTTGGCCTCCTTCAGCAAATAGCGCTGAACACTGTTTTTCTTGACCCGGTCGCTCTCTTCCAAAGTATGCCGATGGCCTCCGCCCACCCCATCATTCTTCCCGTTCGCACCATTGCCATTGACCCGCTGTATCGTAAAGAATCTCTCCCCATTCGCCCCCGGATGACCATCAGGTAAGGTAGGATTCGGCGTGAGCACGCCGAACGGCTGACTGTCCCTCCTCTGTCCCAAGCCAGACTCATGAAACAACGAGTTCACGCTTGGCAAAAACTCCGAGGAAGGAAAGGACGTCTCGGGTCCGTTCGCGGCAAAGTCCGAGGCAGCAGCCACACCATACCCGGGAAAGTATTCGGTGATTTTGATCTTGACGTCGCAGAGGTCTCTTTGTCGGGCGGTGCGTTTCCGCTTCTTCTTGTTCGGGTCGTCGGATTTAGGAGTTCCTGGCGGGCGGCCTTTGAGTCTGCAGTCCCAGTAGTGGGAGACGAAGGGTTTGCGCTTGTAGCGTTGTGTGGAGCGGTGGGAGTAGACGTTGTCGACGTGTGGAAAGTAGGTTCGGAATCTGGTTGCAGAGCAAGCGGTTAGATAACTCGGTTTGGGTTTCAATGGTAGAATAGGGGCTGCGTAGAACGTACTGGTCTTCAGTCAATGTGATCATCTCGTCCACGTTGAATAGCTTTTCTCTCCAGTATTCAAGGTCAGGAGGATCAGGGACCAGTTTCATGTCTTTCAGACAACCGTCCTGTTTCGAGAGCTCCGGAGCCACAGAGTAGCTATCGCTTTGCTGCTGTAGCTGCAAATGATGCGAGAAGGATGGCGATACTTGCAAGCCGGTATTGCGCATGTGCGCATCATCGTCGGCGCCATTGCCATTACACACAACAGTGGTATCCGTAAGATCTGAACGTACTTGCGACAGGACCTGATCGTGGTGTGCATCTTGATCGACGCCGTGAGCTAAACAGGATTGCATCTGCTGACCATCCGAATGGCTACCCGAGAACGCCTGCTCTCGGGATGTTTGGTGGTAGGTATGCAGCTTCTGGTGAATTTGCTGAGGAGAGATCAGCACGGTATTCACCGACTCGCCAGGCCGCGACGGCCGCATAAACGCCGGCGTATTGAGCGGATGACCCGCATTTTGATGGTGCCGCTGCCCCTGCGGATGATGGAGATGGAGGTCGGAGTGTTCAAGCGCAGACTGTAGAGGCTGGAGCGACTGCGCGTCATGAGGATCCGCAAGCTCTTGTGCATGCGACTGGTGATGCTGTTGTTGGGTTGCAGCTAATGCGGACGCGTCGTCTGCAAGGGACGACAGCGACCGGGGCTGTCCATCAGAAGTGTGAGAGTCGACGCGGAATCGCTGAAGGTCCGGGCCGTCCATCTCTCGACCGGAACATCAAAGCACGAAGGCGGGATTAGCGATTCTGGATCATGTCGAGTGCTGCTTTTGGAGGAGCGGAAGGGGAATTGGTGGGGAAGTTGAAGCAGCGTGTTGATGTGGAGAGCGGAGGAGGATACAATAATGATTGATGGTGGTGATGACGACGGAGAATTATTGCTAAATCACATAACACAGAGGATGACTCTACGTTTATACATGGTTCTCTCAAAAGTTGCGCAATAGCTCTGATTTCACTTTCTATCTGTGGGACTCTACCAAATCTGTTGTCACGGTGAAATCAACCAGCTCAAAAGAAGAAAAAGCAATTATCGGACATTGTGACAGGGAAAACCGACCAGCAAACTAGTCAGCTCTACAATTGACAGTTCATATCAACAGAATAATACCACGTTATTGTCTCATATCAAAAGAAAATCCCCAATCGATCTTTGTTTGACCTATATCAGTTTCCCCCTGCCGTCTAAAGGTCCAGTGCTCGGTTTTGCTGAATCGCGTCCAATAGCGATGCTCCTCAAGACTCGACACGTCAATATCCATTCTCATCAACACTATACTGACGATACATGTTCAAACTCTGCTTGGCGAAAGCACTCCGGGCCCGAAGCCTCTCACCGTATCGCGTGAACAAGGGCGGAACAATGCAGAAGACAGTTGCCGTGGCCGCCAGCACGGTCACAGCAAGATTCGCCCCTAGAGCCGAGAACAGATGGGGCGAGACTAACGGAAAGACAGCTGATAGGATCGAACGCAGTAAGCTGAGGGCTGAAAACCCGCTCGATGCGTAGCTTAGATAGCTGTCAGTGAGATAGCTCCCAAGGACATAGTCTAACTCGTTCAGTGAGTATCCGACCAACAACAGCGAAATGACGGATACGATCCAGTGCAAATCTTTCACGCCAGGAGGAATGGTCCAGGCGAAGGCCCAAAGCCCGCCCGCGAGGATAGGTGCTCCAAGCCAGAGACCCAGCAGCTTGTGCTCGGGAAGTAGCACGCGGCCCTGCTGCCGGTGCTGGTCGATGATGTACAGGTCAAGGCAGCGAGTCAGCAAGCCAAGACTAAGCCCAACACCGATAGCGATGAAGGGTAAACTGGATTGTCGGGGGTTGAAACCAAAGGATTCATAGATGGGAGGTAATGCTTCCGTGAAAAGATAAACCAGTGCAATTGAGATTGCGCTTATCGAAGACACTATGAACACGATAGGTTCGGTGAAGAAAAGAAGTACAGGCCGAGACAGTGCAAGCCGCGCAAAGGTATGCAGGTCTGGTGTATGATCTGGGTTCGCCCCTTCCAGCGACTCAACCTTGGACGCCTTGCGGAGCTGTGCAACTTCTCTTGCCAACAAGAGAGAGGGACGGGATTCTCGAATGCTGAGAAGGAGGAGGGTAAGGAGACCTGTTACGATGGCTGCAATGTAAAATAGCCAACGCCTTTAGAAGTCAGTCTATCAGCAGCGCTCCCTCTGGCCATCATCATCACGCAACGCTTACCAGCCCAGATCTGCAACTACGTAGATGCTCATAATCGGTCCCGCGATGAGACCTAAGTTGCTTGTTACGGCCCAGATACATACCATCCAAACCCGGTCGCGAGCGTTGAACATATCCTCTATACTGCCTATTATCACAGTGGTGGGAATTGCCGATAAAAACCCACTGATGAAGCGGCCCACGATCACACCAGAAAGTGAAGGAACGGAGGCTATGATGAGACAGCTGATACTGTACAACGCAGTGCTGACAACGTAGAGCTTCTTGCGTCCGAAAGCTTCAGAATAAGGCGGAAAGAGGATACCACCGAATGCTTGCCCGATAAGATACCTATTGCTCGTCAATAATGACACCCGCGAGCACATCCACTGTCACAAATGGCTTTGGCTAGACCCGAAGGCGAGGCGGGTAACGAACACTGATACGAATATGAAGATGGATCGTGTCCTCTCTAAGCCATATTCAACAGCTGCAGCTGCGGCGGCGGTTGACTAGATACTCATTATAAGTCCATGGTCTGGTAAATCAATTCATACGGCTTGAAGGAAACATACACCAGAAGTGCTAACAGCTGTTCTGATAGGCTCTTCAAGTTAGCGCAGGCGACAGTGTACCAGACAGGCAGGCACATACGTGAAAAACTCGAGGACGAAGATGAGACCGATATCATAGACCTTCCGAGAAATATCCCAATTCCGAGGATGATGACGGTTGCCCATTGCCCATTGCACGCGAAGCTCATCGGGGGTCAATTTCAGCCCATATTGAGAAAGATGGAACTGTAGCGAGACCGGGTCCTTGCTCAACGGGCTCAGCTTCTCCTCGGTGATTGCGGTCTGCATCAGGAAGAGATCAACTCGTAGGAATACTCAATTCGAGATTCAGGTGCAAAAGGTCTCGAGAACGAGATACGTCCATGAGAGCTATGCACATTTGGAGAGCTTCAGAGCACCGCAGCCAGGGATACGATGTAGGATCAGGATGTTTCCATCTTCAAAGCAAGCTTCTAGGGCGGGTATGCGACACTTTCTCATGAGGTAAGCGCTCCATCGATGCGTTGTTACGACTCGCATTCCTGAGCCTATCGATATCGAGCTCTTCATTGGGCCCTGAACAAGAATATCCAGTCCTTGTCGTGTGAGTTGTGGGCCGTTAGCATGCTTCGTTTGGAAGGTCGAAAGGTTCAGCTCGATCAACATTCCTCGCGGATTGATATGCTCTTCCCATTTCCTTGGCATACTCGTCCCACTGTTCGTCATTCCCAGTCTTGTGACCTTGTCCTTGGAGCATACTGTTTGACGATGTGATCGTCAGCCGTGAGTGATAGAGTGAAAGAGCTTGCAGGCGGGTGGTTAGTATACTTTAGCCGACATAGTTGAACTGTGATTTCCCTCCGTCCGTCTCATAGTCTTTTTTTTTTTTTGAATTGCATGTAAGTTGAGAAAAAAGGTTGTCTTTTAACAGGGTCTAGCCTCAATGAACGCAAATTATTCCATTGTTTATGTGAAGTGAGGACCTGTGTTAGTCTTGCCGCCTTCGGCATGGTCGCCCTCTTGTCATCACCGCCCTGTGTTGGCCTGGGGGCTATTGTTCATCATAGAGGATAGGACTTGAAGTGCACTGCCTTTTACCTACTTTAGGCTAAACTACTTACCTATGTATATAATGAGCAGTACTCCAGCCCTAAACCAGTACTTACCAGCTAAAACTAGGTTTAGCATGCAGAGCTATGCTTAGAGTATATTTCTACTTTGATCTTGCATTTAATTCCATATAGTAAGATCTGTTGGTAATACTCACTGATATATAATGACTTTACACATTCAAGTTATACATGATGCTCTGGCATTGCTTTGCTCAGGCTATCAGAAAGTGGATAGATTTAAGCCTGTTAGAGGTGCTCTGACAATCATCCACTTTGTAGGAATACTTTTAGGCGTTTTATTATGACTCATAGGTCATTGCTATTCTCAGAAATAAGGAGAATGAACTAGTAGACTAGGACCTCTGAGAAAGGAGGCATCCTGGGACCCTCCTAACAGCGCCTGGGACCAGAACGAGCTCCGAGAATAACGATCTGATTCCCAACATCGCTGTTATTAGTCCCGGAGACGTTAGACTACATGCCCGGGACTGAGTTCTATTCCAGGAACAGCCTTGTCCTTCCTAGAATTTACAACCCTTCTCCAGGTATCCAAGACCAATGATCGTCTGCAATTCACTGGGTACCTATTTTCAGAACCATTCTCAAATAGAAGGGTCCTTGCGGACATCGCTCTCCCAGGCTCCGGTGTTTGATTAGTATTCTGCAGAAATAGCACCATACTGATAAAATCAAAAGACTTGCACTGAACGCCAGCATTCATGGTTGACTCAAATATATCTGACTGAGAATAGATTGCTTCTGTCGTCGCCGAATATCCCATCTCATACTCCTCCTGCTTCGAACTTCAGCTTGGGTTGGAGCGCGCGGTGCCACGGGATTTCTTTGAGCTTGAGCTAAGCCGCCATCTGATCGAGGCTGTTTCGAATGACATCCTGTGGTGACCGGGTGGGAGAGGGTAACGCTCGAGGACCTCTCGGAAGGGGATCTCGCTTGTGAGCCGCTGCCGTGGCCTAACCTGCCGAACAAGCTCCTGACAAAAGATGTTGCCTCTTTCATCTTGGGAGATGACGGATTCGAGAGCTTCATCTTCTAACTCGTTTTTGGGCCTCACTCTCCTTGCTTCTGTATCACTCTCAACTTCAGCCTTCCTTTTCGGCCTTGGCCGTTCGAGTTCGCTGTAGTGCAAGCCCCATGTAGCAGCAAGGATTCTCAGGCACCGCTCGCTGTGGGCCGCGACAGCATCTTCTAGTTCGTCGTATTCCGTGACGTCGGTATCTTCTGATGTACTTCTCTGCCATCGTTCCCAGCCGGTCACGCCATAGTGTCTAGCCAACCGCGTTAGGGCGCTTTCTATTGGAATTGTTAGGATACAAGGGCAGGAGCAAGATGATGATGGGAAGGGGAACATACTATCTAAGCCGAGCTGCCAGAATTCCTTCACAGACCTGGGGAATTCCGAAGCTACTTTGAATGCTTGACTGTCTCCAACTTGGACAGGCGCCGAGACTGGTTGTAACGGATCATCTAGCCACTTTCGCAAGCCGTTGATTTGTATGGCTGTATTATTAGCGAGACCGCTTCGGAAACCGTCGAATTCAGCTCGGAAACCGTCGAATTCTGTTCGGACCTCTTTTCTGAAGTCATTAAACTGACTTTTGAGTTCTTCCAGATCTTCCTCCACCGCACCCAACCGACTTGACAGTGATGTCAAGGCAGCCCTAGCACCCTGTTCGAATCTCTCAACCCTCTGGTCAAGTTGGTTAATGTCGTTCCTCGCACCAGTTAGTTCTACCGATAAAGATCCATGCTCCTCATATAAATGAGTCTGTGTGTATGCCGACGATACCGATTGCGGCTTCAGAATAAGACTGAGTTTCGTTCGAGACAGTTCGCGATCGGGAGGGAAGTGATAGTTGAGGGGGGGGAGCGGAACTGTTCTTCAGAGCAGTTTGACGAAGGGTCTCAACCACGCTATGTGGATCGGGGCTCGGAGCAGGCACCATCTTGTTCTGTTAGTTGATGTTCTGGATCATAACTACTCTTTGATGATGGATAGGAAAGGCTCAGATGGTTTGAAGAAAGGAGGGGGGTTCACCTTTCAGGCAGCAGCCGGTCCAATCCCGATCGGTACTTTCTGCCCCAGGCAAAAAATCACGTGCATTCTCTCCTGGCCGCAGTTATTCGTGACTGAAGCCGGCCCACACCGGAATCGGGAATAATATTCTGCCAGATCACACAGACGACGCTCAGCTTCAATCAGACAATAGCTCTGGGCCTGCAACGAGTTGGGCAGGGAAGTATCTAGTGCTGCCACGTCAGTCGCTAGGATTCTTGGTGAGCGCTAAAATGATGATATGTATATCCTATGAGATTTCACTGAGACAAGGGAGACTGGAAGGTTCCTTATTTATTCTTACATTTGATTCCGTGGTAGGATCTGTTGGCAGTGCCCTCTGATGTGATGAATTTAGGCGCCCGGTTTGACATGACGCTTTAAAACTGCTCAGACTATCAAAAGCTTATGATTTCGAGTCTCTTGGCGCCAACCAAAAATGCACAAGGATTCTGCCCAGAAACGCTTGGTATGCAGCCAGGGCTACTACAACAAGTATGCAGTAGCTGAGGCATTATATAGTCATGAATTGCCGTATGAGCAAAACCTCCGGGCCCTCGCGAAGACCTATCATATGCTCATAAATCATGTTCACCGTCCTACCTCTGGCTTGGTGTAGAAGTGCGGACCGAGTTGGCTAGATGCCTTAAGACAACCTCATCCTCTCCACACCGTCTCGAGAGGAACATCGATCATATCGAAGGTCTCGTCTGCTTTATGAAGCCTATCTGGCCACCACAAATGAAGCAGTGTTTCATGGGTTGCTGTTTCTTTAATAAAACGAGAAGAAGTGGGGCGGTTTCACAGTTGTGTGTATGTGCCAGTATGGGCTAATAGCGCCCTAGTTTGAAGAGGATTTTGTAGCTGATTAAGCATTCTATTGCCATCAGAGCCATCTAGTACTGGCGCCAATTAATTGGTCTCTATCCATTAAACTCATTCCTTTCGACCGTTGCTGACAAGCTATTAACACGCGCAAAGCATGCATTAGCATGCATTAAAGTAAATACACCTTTGCTCGACGTCTTACAGATGTTTCAACTCTTGGATGCTCCCACAAGAAAAATATGGTTGAGTAACTTGCTTGCAGACATTCGCCATCCTGGATTTACCTGTAGCATCAACAAAAGGAATGACGCAAAGCGCTGTATATCCTTAATATCAAATGCGGGTAACCGATCCATCAGGTATTTAGTAAAGCGTTCAGCTCTGTGACCATTGTCGCCAAGGATTTGGCCAATGAGGAAACTTCATGCTCTTTGTCAATCTGTTCGGCCGAAAGGCCAAAAGTCCCTAAGGGAAATAACGGCTCATTTGTCGCCAGTTCGAATATCTATTCCAGGGTTAGACGGTAGAACTGGCTTCTTAGAGATAGGTATAGCCTACCACACAACCCAAAGCCCAAATATCGACATTAGCATCCCAGACATTTCGATGGATCAATTCAGGGGGACGCAAGGCTGTTGGTATCACCGGCCATTGGTCGCATTGTTGATCCCACATAGCTGGAAATATATGAGACTCTTTTTCTCCTAGATTGGGGCAGTAATGATAAATCTCTTACCTCCACCTAAATCACCTATTCTAACTGAAATCGTGGAGATGTCTATGTTATCCAGCTGGCCTCGACGTCGCTGCGAAGATACCAAATACTTGGGTGCGCTATGATCGGCTTTGATTCCTTCCAACCATTTGACAGGACTGAACTCCGGAGGCTGCAAATAAACCTCATTTTGTATCACTCCAGCAGGCGAAAACATAATATTGGCCGGTTGTAGATCTGTATTCAGTCAATTGAAATACCACCTGAAATGTTGTGAAATGCACTCACCACAATGGATAATATGCGATCTGTGTAGGAAATCAAGACCAAGTAAGATTTGTCTGGAAACAGCTCGTACGTAGTCTGCCCGATGACGCGCTCCAGAGACAGTCATCCCTTCGCCGTCAGAGATCATAACAGGAAATACAAGGCATAAATGCGTTCCGTTTGGACCTATATGTTCGAAATGGTCCAATAGTTCAACGATATGCGCTTTCCCAGGATGATCCAGTTCTGTGATAGACAACCGACTAAGGATAGAAAGTTCTCGATTGTTTTCAGATGCATCTGCTTTTAGTATCTTCAATGCAACCTGTCGCGCGGCCCTTCAAATATGGCAGTTAGCTATTTCTCGGTCAAGGCAGTTGGTTTCAGAAACAGACCGTTGATCATTTGCAAGCCATACTGTTGAAAACTGACCGAATGCTAGCTTTCCAATAACTTCGTATCTCTGGTTGAAAATGTCGTGAAAATGTACTGGATGATAGCCTCCACGGCGGTACTCTTCGACAGGCTCTACCACATCGTATATTCTCTCAAATCGTCTCATTTTGAATGCTGAACTGGAGTAAATGACAAGGTGAATTTAGTTTCCTTGAATACATGTGATGCGCCGACCTCTCGTTGGAAAATTTCCAACAAGGTTGTCCTCTTTGGTTACAGGATGCTGGCCCGAGCCTACTGGCAGAAGTGCTACCAAGTAAAGCCCGTGACTTTTTTAGTATTGAAAGAATTGGAAGACTGAGATAGGGCCCGCGCTTCTTGCGCAGGGTAGCTCGGAGAACTCAAGCCAATCAGGGCCACCTGGCAGACCTAGAAATATCTAGGTATCTGGTTGGCGGCTTGTTTAAGACGTCAGTTGCCCATGCTAAACAGGAGGGTTACTGAAGCATTCTGGCACACACTATGGATAGGTAAGAAGGGATATTGACCCTGGATCTATGACAATACACTCTTGTCTTAGGCTATCCTAGGGGATATGGTTTTTGGAAAGTAACTATGATTGCACTAGTGATTAATCCACCATACATTCTCATTATGAAGGGACTTCCTCTGCACTCGCTTACTTCCTTCCCAATGATCCATCGGTTAAGACTCGCCCCGGACAGCCTCAGCAACCCATCAGCCCTTCGGCGTAAGTTTAAGCATTGCCATTGTAAGCAAGCTTGTTAGGGCTACCCTGAGTACCGGTGACGACACCAGTGGTGGCCAGCTGCTTGATGCGAGCGGTCACAGCAGCAGGTCCCGAAAGGCTCTCGAGACCCATCAAGTAAACGGATAGGCCAACAATATGGGGGGTGGCCATGGAAGTACCGGAGATGGTATTGGTGGCAGTGGTGGAGCCGATCCAGGCGGAAAGGATATCCTGACCGGGAGCGAAGATGTCCACAACAGAGCCATAGTTGGAGAAGTAGGCGCGGGCATTGCTCTTGTTGATCGCAGCAACAGTCAGAGCGTTAGGTGCAGAGGCAGGGCTTGTGCTCGAAGCATCAGTCTGGCACGATATGTCAGTCCGACTAAACTAGCAATGTCCATTTGATAAGTTTTAGATGGCGGGGATACATACGTTCTCATTTCCAGCAGCGACGACAGAAAGGACACCTTCCTGGTAAGCGTTCTCTACAGCGTTGTTGAAAGCATAAGAGTAGCCACCGCCTGTCATTATCCATCAGTAGCCGTTACCTTCAATTCAGTTGAGCGAACAAGAGGGCGCATCTTACCAAGACTCATGTTGATCGCAGCCTTGCTAGTACGACCCTTGCTCACAATGTCGTTGGCAGCCCAGTTGAAACCGTCAAGGATGATCGAGGTGCTGGAGGACTCGCCCTGGAAGACCTTGACGGACAGAAGGTTGGTCTTTTTGGCCACTCCGTAGGTCGAGCCGCCAATGGTACCAGCAACATGCGTTCCGTGGCCGACACTGTCAACGTGACTGCCACCAGCAGCGTTGTATGCCAGCGATGCGCGGCCACCGAACTCGACATGGTTGACATTGATGCCAGTGTCGACAACGTAGGCATAGGTGCCGGCGCCAGCGCTGGTGTCGTAGATATAGTCGGTGCTTGCTTGTCCCTTGTGGGAAATGCTGCCAAGACCCCATGGGGCGCCCTTTTGAGTGGTTAAAGCGTTAATGTACCAGATTTGGTCCTCCTCAACATGGGCAACCTGTGCGCTTGTAAGTCACTGATCTCACGAAGTGGTTGCGGTTCTGGAGAGTACTGACATCTTCACTCTTGCGAATTTCCTCAATGGTAGCATCATCGAAGGAGCCGGCATAGGCCGCGAAATCCTTGATCTTGTAGTTCTTCTCGATACCAGCCGGAAGATCGCCGCTGGTGCCATCACGACGCTCCAGATTGCGTTTGTGAAGGTCAGTGGCCCAAAGAGTATGAGACTCAATGGTAGCAGCATCTGTGCCCGGCTTGAATGTCACGATGTACTTGCCAGGAATCTTCTCGGCAGAACGACGAGTCTCCTGGACAGGCGCGCCAAACACAGCTGGCAGGACAGCTCCGAGGAGCAGCAGGGTGCGCTTGATAGAAAGCATGGCGAAGACCTCGAGATGGTTTTGGATACCAGATCAAGTTGAAGATGTTGGACTGAAGGGTCTGATGTACACACACAGATCAGTGAATAACGAACAGGTATTTATAGCTTTCCCCTCTTCGTGTCCCGTGCGCCTCTGCTCTTGTGCCATTTCAATGCCTCCGTATCTTTCATTCACAACCGCGAGACAAGATGGACACATTCCGGAAATTGAAGTGGAAACTCACAAGGTAGCATTGCATCTCTGCATCGCACCCCGTCGGAGAACCAGATAGTACATGCAGAGAGCATGCGATGAGATGAACCGTGCAGATGACGGATATGACCTCCATCAATTTGACATGGCTGAGTCCAATCAGGAAATCCGACGGGTCATCAGAAGAAGACATTGGCATCGGCGAATAGCGATTGATGCCGCTGACTCGCACAAGAACACCACGAGTACAAGAGAATTCACTCATTAGATGCGCAAATAGCGCCTTATGGAAGGTAACATGTCCTCTTGGCTTCTTCAGCGACTC